GAAAGCACTTTCTCCAATCGATTGAACTGCCCGGCGAACTTCAGTTAAGCGTTGCCCTCTGAGTCATCACCAGGGTCAATTTAGATTTATATTCACGCTGATGAATAGGCTCTGCCTCTAATCTAATGAAAACTTGATCAGCAAATTAAAACTCGGCTTGTTGAGGCTGTTGAGCACAGGTGAGTTATGGAGGGAAGCCTGCCTCCCTGGGCCAGCTCAGCCTGCCGTCGGCGTCCCTCTCCCTCTGGGTATCTGGCGCGGAGTCTTGTTCTGCCCCAATACCTGGCAGCAAGAGGCAGAAAAGAGGAGGTATATGGGCCAGAGAATCCTGCGTTTAAACCCCGCTCCTGTATTAATGACTATTAGCTGAGCTGGCGCGGAAGAGAAGGATGCCTTCTGCCTTCTCTAGCGCCTTCACCAGAGCTTCCTTAATTGACCCCCACGACTGCCTTGTGAATTGGGAAGCGGTTGCACCTCTTCTTCCTGGGAAACCTGAGCTTTTTACCCAGGGACTGGGTTGTTAGACCATGCTTTGTGGCTGTCATCTCTTTTTGCAAGTCCCTTGCTTATTCCGGTGACATTCACATGCTTTACGCTGATGAGCGCAGTTACTCTGTATTTTGATGGCGCCGTTACCTTTCCTAAAGGCTAATTTGCTTGAATGTCCCATTACCTGCAAATTGGATAGGTACGATCAATATTTGCGATTCCAGGAACGTCTGGCTGGTGCAGAAGTGCCTGGAGGGGACGGCACATCCCGAAAGCAGGAGGTTGGATTGAAAGATGATTGGAGAGGGAGGCTGAACGTGCGATGCGCTGTTATTAGACCAGCGAGTCCTTCCTGTTTACGGAGCTGGATCGCAGCCCGAAACGGGGCCAGGCTTTGGGAACACCAGAGTTTGCCAGTAAGAGATGATATCCGTGCTTATTAAACTTGAGCCTCCCAGCTATCTTAAGAGCTAAGGAAATGTTTCTTATCGCTGGGGGGAAATGGTGTAGAGGGTCGCTAATAGAGAGGGCGGAGCAGTTCTGACATCATCACCTCCCGCTTTCACTCTTTAGACCACCTTGCATCTAGCATTTGTGGTCCTCTGCCAAACTTTTCGTGAAAGGTCATTGCCCGGAGAGAAACGCTGAAGGTCTGTGCAATGAAGGAAGAGGAAAGGGTTTCCTGGGAGTCGCTGAGAGCACATAAAGGTGATACCTGATGAAATGCCTGGGAAGAACATTCATTTCAACGTAGTCGCTAAGAACAGGAAGGGAAGATGGATGGAGTTACCCAGGAAATTACAAGTCATTGTGTGTTATCATATGACTCATTCGGTACCCATAGCTCACCCCTGGGCTGCAAGGTTGTGGATTAAAGACCTACACTGGGACTTGGGATCATTTCTCTTAAAATGAGGAAGATGCATGGACCTTAAGATATATCGTAGCCTGTCAGCTAAAATTGGAGTAGAGGGATCTCTTTGGTGTTGGCAGCCATGAGGACGGGGGTCCAACAAGGGAGGTTTGACCATATCAGAACTTGTACTTCTGAGGACTTGAATGATCAGAAAGGCCTGGCTTTCTGGTGTAGATGCTGGGAGCCCTGATGCGAGAATCACAAGAAGACAGCTGCCGGGGCAGGATAATCAAAGGCTTGATTGAGGCACACTGCACTAATGATGGCTTCTGTTCAGTAGCTAGGCGTCCATCTCTAGGAGCACGGAGATCATCCCACAGGGCAACAGGGCAGTGCCTGCCCCACCGTCCTCCATCCTGTACCTCCTGCTTTCCATGGGCCCTGCTGCTTCAACGTCTCTGATGCAGTTCTCTTGATGACTGGGCTGACCACAGTAGCACCAAGTAGAATCATAGAATCATTAAGGTTGGAAAAGATCTCTAAGATCATTGAGTCCAACCGTCGACCCAACACCCCCAGGCCCACTAAACCATGTCCCTCAGCGCCTCATCTACCCGTCTTTTAAATACCTCCAGGGATGGGGACTCCACCACTTCCCTGGGCAGCCTGTTCCAAGGTTTAACCACTCTTTCAGTAAAGAAATTTTTCCTCACATCCAATCTAAACCTCCCCTGGCGCAACTTGAGGCCGTTTCCTCTCGTCCTGTCGCTTGTTCCTTGGGAGAAGAGACCGACCCCCCCCTCGCTACAGCCTCCTTTCAGGTGGTTGTAGATGTACTGGAGATGCAGGATGTCTCCAGAGGAATCCAGCACTGGATCTTCCAGAAGGACTGTCCACGGATCAATGACCTGTGCTAGAGCTTTCCCAGGTAGAAAGCCTGGCTGTAGCACCTTTACTTCTCCTGTTCCGTAGACATGGACAGGTGGCACACCTCCTGCCCAGCAGGGCCAGCCAGGTACCGAAAGTAGGATTGGCGGGCCTCCGATCTAATGAGCTACCTAATGGCCAGAGGCAGAAGGGCCTGGGCTGGTGGGCTTTGACTGCAAGCTCTTCTGGACAGCCAAGGCTATGCACTTGGGCTCATGTGGCTTTACTTGCGGCCAAACCTCTCTCTTGCTTTCCATTTTGCTGCGGCCATAGGGGTCAGTGGTAGAGGTCATGCAGTGTCCCTTTATATGAGGCAACACGTTGGAGTTGTGAAGTAGAGGTGAGTCTGGAGCTAGGCGTGCTGAAAAGCCCTTGCCAGAGGTGCTAAAGGACTTTCAGGATAGGTTTTGTGCCTCGTGCCTTATTGATGCTCCTAAGGAGGTCCAGAAAAACCTACAGGCTTGTCGCGTGGCTGGAGAGGTGGCACTCCTCCATAAGGTGTCCTCACCGATGTGGCCTTTAGGAGCAGTGTAGCAGGGCAATGTAGACATGGCTTTTCTGAACATGGCGGGGGAGATTTGCATCAGCGTCTTTTCCCTGGCAGCAAATTGTCTGTTCTGAGAGGACTGAGGATGAGACAGGAAGGTTATCTCTCGCTGGAACTATGCTGAAGATAGCGGATGATCTCACACACTGACCCTTGCACCAAGGCCAAACTGCTGAACGAACTGAAAGAAAATTCAGGCTAGTTGGAGGGATTTCAGCGGTAGAGAGTGGGCACATCTATTATGGGAGGCTGCTTAGGGCTTCACGTCCTCCATTGCTGATGTCTGAAAGTCGGTGGGATGATCCCCCCTCCCTAGTGCCAGTCCTAAACCACCAGATACCTGATTTGATCACGGGTGTGCAACTCAAACCACTCGAGAAAATCTTCAGGGTAACGTGCTCCTGACTACGTCGAAATTGTGAGAGGTCATCGTTGGTAGGTGCTGTTTGACGAAGAAGATCCGGTGCATCTCAACCTCAATATTTTAGAACCAAGGGCATTGTTAAAATACGGGTATAAACGAACCCTGCATGCTCACACGGGAGGTGGCGGGAGGATCTCCTGGCTCCCAGCCTGGTGCTTTGCTCGCTAGAAGTAACTTTGTGCGTGGCGAAGAGCATACCGGGGCCAGTAAGGAGCTGGCCTCTATTGTACCGTATTCAAAGAATAAAATAATCACCTTTTATTCCGCTAATGCATTTATGGGGTAAATGGGAGAGGAGCTTAAGTTAAATTCTAAATGTGACTTGACAAGGCACAGCCTGCAGATACGTGTCAGTCAGGCGGCGGTGCACGTCGCTGTCAGCCCGTGAGCCATGTCACCAGTGATGAATGCTAACTAACGAGTTACTGTCTAGTTGTCATGGAAAGCTTGAACCCTGGAAAAAAATTAAGAATTAACTGGCTTTCAGAGGTGGTGAGAAATCTAATTCTTGCCTGATGATTGTTTGGGTTCGGAAGCAGAGATGGAGGACTTCCACACCAAAACCGCCTGGCCTGTATGCCTGGAGCTAAGCTGTCCTGCTGCAGCGTGCCGATAACTCTACAGGTCTGGAGACTGAAATCCTCGGTCCCAGCGCACGGGAGAGTTGTCGAACGGGGTGTCCTGCCTGTGTTGCCATGCTGGTCAGCCCTAGGAGGACCTGCCTCTCCAGTGGGCCTTGCAGCTACAATATAAAATAATGGGGAAGCTCTCTACAAATGCAGAGGTGAGATCTTTCCAAAGTCCCGGCCGCTGGTTGCAGATGATCAGGCTGTCTTCGGTGGCGATCTCATGCGAATTGTCTGGTTCTCGGAGATGGGGATTTGACGGAACTTGGCGCAGCAGTCAAATGCTTTTCTTCCAGAACCCCATATAATTAATGCAGATGAAATTTATGTTTGAAATGCCGAGGTCGGTGCTTCATCTTGTGAGGGAAGAAAGAGGCAAAGAAAGACTAGCTGCCTCTCCTAGCCGATGGGGGTGCAAGAGATGCCTTTTCTAGGGTGGCTTCCATCAGCTGCATCAACGTAGAGGGACCGCTCGAGTGCACGCTATAAACCGTAGGGCAGAAACCTGGGGAGTGGATAGGGCCCTTCCAACCCCCCGCCTTTTGTCGTGCTTCATACTGAAGTGCTACGCGCTTCTTGTCTTGGTAGGATGGCACCTTTGTTAAAGGAGGCTTAGGTGCCGTAGTGATTGCATCCCAAAAGCAGAAGTAACAGCACAACTTAGTTTTGCGTCCCTTAACCTGAAGAGCGTGACAAGAATCTTCCATTTTGCAGGGGCAGGGATAGCCTCGGAGCCAAGATCTGGCTCTGACCGTGCGGTTACTGCGGCTGGGGACAGTTTTCGCCACTGATCCAGACCTGCAAAGTTATGGGGACATAACCGATTCCCATGGTGGACTGGGAATATGACTCATGCTAAGAGCGTGTTCTGCGCAGGTCTTCTTGGGAGGGCTGCGATTCCCTACGGTGTCACCCCTGCCTCAAGTGCCTCCCACATCTAATTGGTTTCACAGTATGCTGGTGCGGTTGTATTGGTTGAAATGTTCAATTACGGTTGTTGGTTTAACTTTCCTTCGCTAGCTGGGAATGTTTGCGGAGGGCTTTCTGAGCGCTGTCTCCCTTCTCAGGCTCTGAAGGACTTTAATTACTCACGTTCTACCTCTGCCTTATTTTTGTTCTCATTTGTAACAGCGTGGTGAAGATCCTGCTCGCAGCTAACGCGGATCCAAACCTTGGAGATGATTTCAGCAGCGTGTATGAGACTGCCAAGGAAAAAGGCCTCCATTCTCTAGAAGGTAATACTGATTGTGTGCAGCTACCTGCATTTGCTTTTCGGTTCCCAAAATTTTGTTTTCCCGGCTTTTAAATGGAAATTTGACCTCATTTTTTTTTTTAGAGCTAGCTTCAGCTTCCATTTAAATGCAGAGTAGCTGATGGTACGTGGGTGAGCGTACGTCTGAAGATGAGAGAAAACGTTATGTAGATGTTTACGGGAAGCAATCCTTCAACGTCCTAGAGATAGCCTGGTTTTATATGGCCAGGACATAACACAAAGTTGTAGATAGGGGCGTCATCCCATTGACCCACACGCAGCCGCTTGCTGGGGAAGGAGAGGGGTTCAAGGCAGCGCGTTCCACCAGTAGCCTTACTCTAGATCTTATAAGTAGACATAAAATGAAGAAAGACTTGTCCAGTTTTGGACAAAACTTGTCCAGGGGCCCAGTTTTGGGCCCCTCACTCCAAGAAGGACGTCGAGGGGCTGGAGCGTGTCCAGAGAAGGGCAACGAGGCTGGTGAGGGGTCTGGAGAACAAGTCTGCTGAGGAGCGGCTGAGGGAGCTGGGGTTGTTCAGCCTGGAGAAAAGGAGGCTGAGGGGAGACCTCATGGCTCTCTACAACCACCTGAAAGGAGGCTGTAGCGAGGGGGGGTCGGTCTCTTCTCCCAAGTAACTGGCGAAAGGACGAGAGGAAACGGCCTCAAGTTGGGCCAGGGGAGGTTTAGATTGGACGTGAGGAAAAATGTCTTTACTGAAAGAGTGGTTAAACATTGGGACAGGCTGCCCAGGGAAGTGGTGGAGTCCCCATCCCTGGAGGTATTTAAAAGACGTGTAGATGAGGCGCTGAGGGACATGGTTTAGTGGGCATGGGGGTGTTGGGTCAACGGTTGGACTCGATGATCTTGGAGGTCTCTCCCAACCTTAATGATTCTATGATTCAGTTGAAATAAAGCTGAACGATGTAACTGGTTGCAATTACTGCTGCTGGTTTTGGGGCAGGCGTTAATGCCAGCTTGCAGCCCTTGAAGTCTTTACATGAAAACGAGGAAATTTTCTGCAGCATCATTTCATCTTGTTTATGATTTTTCTTAGCCGATGTCTCAAGTTCCAGTCTCACCCTAACGTTGTCCCCATCGCTGGGATGTCGATGCCGACTTAGAATCACAGAATCACAGAAGGGTTTGGGTTGGAAGGGACCTTTAAAGGTCACCTGGTCCAGCCCCCCTGCCATCAGCAGGGACATCTTCAACTACATCAGGTTGCTCAGAGACCTGCTCTGTTTATTCAGACCAATTTGAATTTCCCAGGCTGTTTCCACTTCTTATGACGATAAACGGTGGTTAGATTTTCTTGGTTTTGTGATTGCCGATGGAATCTCGGGGAGGGATGTCTGGATTCTCGGTGCCCAGCTGCGCTTCAAAGCGGCCGGCTGCGCGTTTCGAGGATGCTTCTGGTCCCCAGGCTCACAGCTCCCAGGCTGGCAGGAAAGCTGGCCGGACTTGACCCTTCCCCTAAAAAGGCC